GACAGCAACTTGTCTGTTCCCCTTCCCCCAATTCCCCATTAAAAATCTTTAAAAAAAAAAAAAAGAAGAATGCACTAGAAGGAATCACCAGCAGACTAGATGAAGCAGAGGATTCAGTCAGTGATTTGGAAGACAAGGTAGCAGAAAACACTCAATTGGAAAAGCAAAAGGGAAAAAAAGAATCCAAAAAAATGAGATGGCTTAAGAGACCTGGGACAACATCAAGCATAACCACATTCGCATCACAGGGTAACCAGAAGGCAAAGAGAGATATGACTATTATTATGTATAGTGCCAGGTGGGTGCTAGATTAGTCAGGGGGATCACATCTTAAACTATATAAATGTCTAACTACTATGCTATGCACCTTAAATTAATATAAAATAATATTGAATGTCCAACTGTAATTGAACATTTTAAAAAGGGGGGAAAGGTGAAGGGGAATAAGAGATCCAAATTTCCAGGTATAAAACAAGTCATGGGGATGTAATGTACACCATAGAGAATATAGCCAATAATATTGTGATAACATGGTACAGTGTCACATGGTTGCTGGGCTTATGGTGATCACTTCTTTAGGTAAATAAATGTTGAATAACTATGGTGGACACCTGAAACTGATATAATGTTGTATGTTAGCTATATTTTTAATAAAAATTTTACTAAATAATAATTTTCTGTGATGAACACTTACCATTTTTATAAAAAGAAAAAAGTGCTATTTTTAAGTTTAAGAAATTAAAAGGGGACGGAGAGTCAGAGGAACAAACACAGGTGGTATATCTTCAGTGATTTTCAAAAGAGAGAATTTCTCAACACGTGTAATCCAAGTTGCTGATGTGGGAGAGTTGACCCTCCTGTGAGGAGGATCAGAGTTAGATGACACAGGCTATTAAGATGATTCAACAACCACCCTGCTCTCATACCCGAATCCCCACACAACGATTTGGTTATAATTTGGCTTCTGATTCTATTTGCCTACTGACAGCAAGAGAATGCTGATTAGCTTCAGGAATATGTACCTTTCTGGGATAACATTAATAGGTATAAATTAATTACTTGGTAGTCTAGTTCCATATCAAATAATTATTATCAGAGACACTACTTGGTAAACATGACCCTCAATGTTTATAGGTGTTTTTATTGTAATAAATGTCTTACTTTAAATTATTTAAGAAGGGAGTTTGAACAAAATATCTCAATTACAGGCTCAATATGGAGATCAAATTTCAAGTCAGCAAAATACAAAAACCCATTATTTTGAATATATAGCCTTAAAAGGTAATGTGTAGTCTAAGGAAATTCTATTTTCTTTTTATATTGAGGGAATAAATGAATTTATTTCTTAAATGATAGTTTTTTTTTTCTTAATCCATATTGAATGTTGTTTAAATAGCTTTTATTTCTCTTTCAGATCTGGTTTTCTTCTGGAGCCTTTATCCGTGCTGATCTTAGCGAATGGGGCATGAGTTTAACAGTCAGAGCCCCGAGCTTAGATTACAGAAACACTTTGGGACTTTGTGGCACCTTTGATGAAAACCCAGAAAATGATTTTCATGACAAAAATGGGATCAAAATCGATCAAACTTTTAATAATTGTGTGGCTTTTATTAATGAATGGAGGTAAGAAAGTAAATTATTTTTATTTATTATTGTATTAATATTTGTCTTAAAATGAGTGGTCAGTCAATACTCTTTTTTTGGCATCACTTTACTGGAAAAAATGTTCTTGTCCAAACTACTGTTCTTTTCTGTTTTCCATGTGGAAGGATTTTACCAGGAAAAAGCATGTTTGACACAACGCCAATTTCTCGGCCATCACCTGGAAAACCATCCTATTGTAGCTGCTCATGTGACACCGCTTCGTTGTATCCATCTTCTCATCATCTAGACAGTGTTTCTCAACCAGACATTGTTTCAGGTTGCAAAGACCTCAAACATGTCCAATTCTCTTCCTTGATACCAGAACTAGATGTCACCTCTGAATACATAAATTCAGAAGCTCTTGACAGAGGGAGAAAGAAGCATACATCTCAAGAAGAAAATAATCCAATTTTTTTTCCTCAAGAAAATAAGCATGTGAACCTAACCAAACTGGACTTCAATTTACAAAAACACCCTGAGAATGAGAAACAAGATGCCCCCAAAACTTTGGATAATGGGACACACACACAGAACCAGGTTAGCCACAGCCAAGAAACAGGGTGGCATCGACAAACCAGATGGAAACGGCAAAACTTTTATGAGTTTCTTCCTTTGTTTGCTTTCCAAAGTCTCAGCCAGAGTAATGTAGAAGAGTTTCCTTATTTTTTCCCTGAGGACCATACAGAGGATGTCCGCCCAGAGTTTGTCCCCATGTGGCCCACACCCTCTGGCCTCACAGAAGACAGCACATTGTCACTGTGTCAGCAGACTCTGGCCAACTCCAGCATAGGAAGGCACTGTCTTGCCTTTCTTGGCAAGAGACTAGCCAGTGTTACAGATATGTGCATTAAGGATGTTCTCCTAAAAGATGATCTTACCTGGGCAGAAGCAGGTGTGGCCCTTTTAGAAAACGAATGTGAAAGGAGGATTTTGGAAGAAGGGAAATATAACACAGAAGAATACGGTAAATCCATTGAAGACATTCTCTTGGTATTGAAATGCCCCAATTTATGCAGCGGCAATGGGCAGTGTGTGCATTGGGGATGTATGTGTTCCCCAGGCTTTAGCTCCTATGATTGCAGCGAGTCACATGGTAAGTAAGGATGCTTCAACTTTGATATCGTGACTGTTATTTGATTATGAAAACATCTTTGTTCTTTTTGTTTGTTTGTTTTAAGCTGTGCCATCCTGCCACCTGTTGGCAGCTCAGCGGCTGCTCAGCTCAGGCCGGGAATTGAACTGCTGTTGCTCAGAGCTCAAACTCTTGAGCGAGCTCTTAACCAACTGAGCCACTCAGCCGGCCCCATCTTTGTTCTTTTTAACCATCAAGATTTAAACAGGGTTTGTTCAGATAATGGAGGGGAGAGAAAAAATTATATTAACTAGTGCGTTAATAATTTTCCCAAAATGTCCCATTTATTTAGAGTAAAAGCTGAAGTACTTAGCCTATAAGGCATGAAGTGATCTCAAACACAATATCTGTCAGAAGTCATTCCCAATTTCTATCGTCCTCACTCATTCCACTCCACTCACTTTGGTTGCCATGGTGTTCCTTGAAAATGTCGGATTTTCATGACATTGGGGACTTGGCACCCAGTGGGTTCCTCTACTGACAGAGAATACATTTTTCTAGAACTCAAAGGTAGTATTTTTTTAAGCACTGTTTATAATATTTTGCTAATTATACTAATTTGCTTCCCCCCCCCCTCTATAACCCATCTATATGGGTCAAGCTATTTCCTCTCACTATATTACAGAAAGAAATTTTTAAGTCAATTTGATTCCATGAACCACTAAACCAATAACACCTGATTTCTCTCCTACCCCCACCTGCCCTTTTCCAACTGCAGACTTTTCCATCTCGGGAAATGCAAACTTCATCCCTCTAATTGCTCACGTTAAAAATGTGTAGGCATTTTGACTTTTCTTTTTCTCATGCCTCATGTTCAATTCACTAGCAAATCCATTAGGAAATCCATTAGCAAATCCAGCTCTAGCTTTAAAACTTTTTATTTCTTTCCCTGCTATAAACTTCGTCGAAGCCACCATTATTTTTCACCTAGGTTATTACAAATTCTCTAGACGTTTGTTCTCCTTGTGCAGCTGAAGTGATTCCTTTGAAATGTAAATCAGGTCATACTACTCCTCTGTTTACACACCTGTAATGGCTTTCTGTCTCCTTCCAAGTAAAACCCACAGTCCCTGCTCTGGCCTAGACACCCTGTATACTCTGAGGCTCCTCTCTCACTGAATTTATCTACCGTTGCCTCCATAGCTCACTGCTCTCCATTGCCCTCAAGTGGCTGTTTGTTGTTCCTTAAAGAGGCCAAGCCTGCTCCTACCCCAGGACCTTTGCACTTACAGCTCCCTCTTACTGGAGCACCCTTCTACCACATCTCTTCATGACTGACATTCTTCTCTTCTCTGTTCAAATATATTAGAAGAGAACCCTTTCATGGTCATTAAAAATGAAGTACTTTTTCTCACACAACCCCATAATCTTTATCTCCCTTAATATAGTGAACATACTTTTTCTCCATAGACTTGAATACACTTACACAATACATTTTATATTTGTTTTATCACGTGTTTATTTTTTGTCTTCATATTAGAGTATAAGTTACATGAAGGCAGGAAATTTGTTTCATTCGTTACTATATCCCCAATACCTAGAATAATACCAGAAAAATAGAAGTTGCTCAGTAGTCATTTGTTGAATATATGAAAGAATAAACTAACAAAGATATGTCGTTTTAATTTTCATAAATATTTTTAGCATTCTGAGTACGCATAACTTAATGATTTTGTATCCAATTGCTAGTAAAGTTATATTTGCTTTGGTTTGTCAGTACTTAGACAAAAGACTCAATTAATTTTATATACTGCATCTATCTATTTAACAGCCAGATCCTGCTTATATAGATAATGTCTGATCTTACCAAGACCAGGCATATAGCCATATGAAGGTCAGTTAACTCTGACTTCTAGAATAAATTTTTTCTTCTATGACTGAGAAGTACAACTGCGATTACGGTAGCATAAAGAATAGCAATAGCACATAAAAACATCAACAATATTAGAATGGCAGCCTACATAAATTTTGATAACAATTTTCTAACACTTAAGTATTTTTAAAAAATGTTTAATACATTATACTGCTAACTACACTATTTTATTATAAAAGTATTTTTTCTATAACCCATCTATAGGGCACAAACCAAAATGCCAAAACTAAAATGTAGGTTGTTCTAGTAGTAATTTCTTAATAGTTGCCCTTAATTGATATCAGCATTAGTTAAAATATGAATTAAACCTTTATATTTAGGCTCTTGTAGTATCTGTAATACTATTTCTATTGGTTTGGTGGTAGATAAGACCTCTTTTAATACCAGATTACTCTTAACATTTAGTGGTTTAATTAATGTATTAAATAATATTTGGGATACTTTGAAATATTATTTTTACATGTTTTTAATTTGGGCCTTAAAAAATAATAGTTTTTTTTTCCTGAAATTAAAGAAAATATGTCTTATTTTGTTATCATTTTTTCCAAAGACAAGACTCCTGAAATTATGGACCTTGAGAACGCTGGATTCTGTAATATTAGAAAATATAATTGTATGATGGTGAGAGTTTTTGGTCAAGGCTTCAAAGAATCACCTTCATTTAAATGTGAAGTTACTAAGCTGCAGGTATGTTAATTACAAAGTTGAAAAACAATTAAGTTTATGAGTTACTCAGATTAATTTTATTTTGAATTAATTTGACGTATCAATAAGCAACATAATCCCAAAGGGTGTCATATCCACACAGAGGTAAATAGGAAAATGAATAAGTTGCTTAACCTTTAAGCATCCCTATTTATTTGTTAACGCTATTAAATTATTTTATATAATTTTTATTGAGGTATTGAGTCACTATTTCAGTCATAATAACAAATTAAAAGAATATCCATGTTGTTTGTAAGCTTCTAAATTTCTCAAAATATAAAAACATGAAAAATGGAGATCATTTTTATCTAAGACACCCTGCATGCATTATAGGATATAGAGACATGAACAATTCCCTTTACAAACCAAAAAGTGAGGACGCACTGCACTCACCCTTTCTATTTCCCTTACTATGAGTTTCATACTGGAATATTATCCCCCACCCCCAAAAAGTAGTGTATTTCTTTCTTGAGGCCACAAAAGACAGGCGTGATCACTCAGTTTGAACATTGGTATATCAAATTGTACCTTCTTTTTGATGGTTATTTATATAGTCTTATTTTTCTTTATTCAAGTAGAATTTTATTTTAAGGAAAGCTCTTTGAATTTAGAAAGCAGTTACATGGGTAAGCGGAAAAGTTAAAACAGAAATCATATCTTAACATTCTTTTTCCTTTCTCTCTAAAGTGATGAAGGCAAATGGGATTCTGAGACTGAGAATTGACAGGAGGGACTAACTTTTGTACATGATTCTGTCAAGTAGTTATACGCAAAAAGTATTCTTATTCCAAGAGTCTATGAATACAACCTTTCTAAATGAGCCATGACATCTCTTAATGCCACTGAAATAATAAGACACACAATAGAAAATGTTATATATGTATAAATTTATTCACTTTAATATCACTCAGCAGAGTAGACATTTTATTTTTCTTGGCAGAATAAATCATGTGTCATCATCTAATGTTAAGTGATTTGCCAGGAGAGAATTTTATAGGTTTATATCCTCTTGGAGAGTACATTTTGTACTTACTTTTAGACATGTTATTTGCTGTGATATTTATTCTCATACAACTTCCCTCCTCCAAAATTCTGATAAATAGAGTACACTCTGGAATTCTCTAGTACACTTTACAGAGAAACAAATGTGTTCACTAGCTAAAATCAAACTTAGATTAGTTATTTTTTTTCCACCCTGTTCAGAGTGTTTATGTATTTCATTTGTAATACAATTAACTTTATTTTTAAGTATTTGTATTCCATTTTAAATTTCCTCCAAACTCTGGTTGATTTTAATTATTTACTTACGTGGAAGATGTGCAAAATATTATCGTGGCCCTAAGAGTTGGCACCAGGGTGTACACAGGGAAATGTCACTGTCTTCTGACCCTACCTCCATTATCCCTTCTTTCCATCCCATTCCCATCCATCCCCAGAAGGTATTCACTGTTATTATTTTCTGGTATAGTCTTACTGTATTTCTTTTGTAAAAAGGAGGAGATATATCTCTTCAACTGTACGTGAAGGGTAGCAGATTACAGATGTTCTTTTCTATCTTTGCAGTAGTAATTTTAAATAAGTTTGTAGCTAGAGAGCAAATCACCCAATATTTCTTTTACTCTCTCCTGAAAAAGCAGCCAGGACTCACAGAATCTCATTTTTAAATTACTTACTTATCAGATTAAATGCAAGTTGTTATTCTGGAAATAAGTGGCCCTTCATGGCCTGGCACTTGTTTATGTTTGCACATGCTGTACTAAACTCCCATGCTGGTTCATGCATCCCTGTCTTTTCACATGCTATTCCTACCAGCCAGGCTGAAAGCACTTTCTCCTCCTTTTCTGCCCCCAATGTCCAAATGGCGGTCTCCTTTTTTACTCCCAGGAAGAGAAGTGCCGTCTTTCTTCAAAGCCTCTCATGACTGTGCTCTTTAGGCTTAGTGTCTTCTTTCTCTCTCATTATACCTTATTTAATCTTGGTTATAACAACAATAAAAATGTCTTATTTGTCTGTCTTTTCCTCTGTTATCTCTTTTCATCAGAATATCCTCAGCACATATAGATACTCTCAAATTATTGATGAATGGCCAAGAAGTAGAACCTTGTTTATTCCTCATTTTGGGTAGGGTCCTCCAAACAGTCGGGTGGAAATAATCCCTATAGTCCCAGTCATTGGATGCAGTCTTGTTTCAACACAAAAAACCAAGAGATGCTGTATGCAGCTAAGTATCAATATCATGACTACCCCAAGACATCGTTGTCAGAGAGGGGAACTGCTGATATATCTGCTTGGCCGGACTGTATATCACACTTAAATGTGGCGATTTGTATTGAGGCCCACTCTCAATTATCAAATCTTCAGGAAGATAGTTTCTATTAGGCACAGATTCACATGTTCTTGCCTTCCTTTCTTTTTCCTACTGATCTACAATATTGAACTATCTGCAGCCTCCATGACCATTTCTGAGAGATTGAAAGCATTCTACAGTCACAAATTAAAAACAAAATCTAAATCTAAATTTTAACAATAAATTATATATCCATTTAGTTTTCTATGTAGTTACCAGTACCCCAAAAATTATGGGGTTTTTTTCCTCTTTAGACACCAATGCATTTTCAATACTGAAAAACAATACTTAGTGTAGGTTAAGCATGATATACCATTGAATTATTAAACAGGGTGAACCAACTAGGATTTATTTAGTTTCAAGTTACATAAATTCATTTGCACTAGCTTGAGCAAAATGATGTTTATCATGAGGAGAGTATGCTTCTCAAAAATTCAAGAAAAAGAATGTAGCTGCGTTCTTGGGGAAAAACTTGAACTTGAGACTTGAATACTATGAAGACTCAGTCTGCTTGCATTTGTATGTGTGTGATGTATCCGTCTGTCTCAGTTCTGCTTGTCTCTGTTTGTGGGCTTCAGTTTTCCCTTTCACTAGATACTGGCTTTCTCCACATCCTGAAAATAATGGCCTCCAACAGCTCCATAGCTTTGTATCTTGCTACCCAAGCCACCAGGGGCAAACAGGCCCAATACTCCCTCCAGTACAAAGTTAAAATATCCCAAGTAATGTAAGCATTGGCTCAAGCTTAAGTCTCCCCCTGGGCCAGTCAAGTGTAGTCAGGGAGGTAGGTCATACAAGAGCATGAGAGGTCCTGCAGGAACAGGTGGATGGAGGGCAGAAAGGAGTTACAAGTAGAAGTAAAAGGTGGGAGCTTTTTCAGGAGAAATGAGAAAGTTTGTGGGCAGAAAATCAACCGGCTGTGTGTCAAGTCCATAGTCAAGCATGTTTCCTCTTGCTACAAAAGTCATTGCATAGTGATCCATTGTTTATATGGCCAATATTGGTAACCTTTAAAATCTGAACTGCAAAAAATGTGTGCGTTAAGAGCAGTTTACATCACATGAAGGTGTATACATTTTTCATTGTTCTCAATGAAACTCACGATCAATGTTACTTTTGCTTATTCATTACATATTTCATTATACCAGGCATGTATTTTCAAATTTGTGTGTTGATCATATTTAATTCAATAGCAAGTTATTTCCATATTTTAACAGAGGTTAATTGCTTTCTCATTATGCTATCAGTATCATAGCAGTAAATGGGTCCTTGGAGAAGCCGTCTATGTGCCTACTGTTTTTCAAAATAGCAGAACTGTTGATTGTCAGCTGCCTGCTGATGCACATCAGTCTGCTACCATGGATCTCACGCATGAGAAACCAATGGTGAAGTGGCAATTAAAGGTAAAAAATAAAAGATATCCTCATATTTATACATAAATACTTGTATGTTAAAATTTCATAATTTATGAAGCTACATTTAGAACAAATTATCATCACAGAACTACATCTTACAGGTATCTAATGATGGTCATAGGTTCAGTAATCCCAAAATAATGATCATATATGATGGGGCTTGTCAAGTTTGTGGTCTCTATGAAAAGGACTCATGCACAACAAAGGTATGTATCTTTTCACTTATTTGCACACTTCCATCATAGGAATTTCTGTTTCTCATGATGTTGGCATATTCATGTAGTTTTTAGACCTTCTTCATATCAGAAATACTAATGCAAAAAAGCCTTCCTTAAATTTATACAAGGTTCATTGAAATTGTTACTCACTCTGTCTGGAATTCTTGTTTCAAATGACAAGGAAGCAGTTTCCACCTTTAACATTTTGAAGTGGTAGGTTGTATATTCCTAAAAAATCAAAAGAGAAGGTTCAGATTGAATTTTCACTTCTACATACATTGTTTTTTAAGTAGTAGTAGTAGTAATGATTTTCAAAAAAAAAATCTCTGTGGCAAGGGATATGCATTTGGGTAGGGCTTGAATAAAGTGTAAGACTGGCACTTTTAAGGAGTTTTTTTGTGGCAACTAAGTTCATTGAGTCATGCTAATACCTACCACTTGAAGGGTTACAGACCAGCACAGCTTGAGCTGAACCCTCACAACCATATGCTCTTATCTATCTGTATCTGGTCTGCCGGGGTTATCAACAGTTCTCCCTCATATGCCAGATGCTGATTTAACAGATGCCAGGGAGCTACTATCACTTGGCTGTTCAAAACTGAGGAGCCTCTCAAATAATATTTATATATATGGAAATTAAAACTATTATTTGAAAATTTTAAATCTTTTATTTTCTTGAGATCAGCCATCAGATCCTAATAATAAAAAACATTTCTGTTTTTGAGAAGTTTGTTTGACTTTTGTTTTTCCCCAAATATGCTATTTCCACATGTCCTATAATAAGTACTCTTAAAATGTTGTTCTTGATTGTTTTATCTTCTTGGGCTATTTTGGTTTTTTATTTTTGTGCAATGTTCCAAGTGATGTCAAGAAGATTTTGTAAAGTGAACTAAGTTTATATACCCTGAACAAAATCTGGACTTCTTCCCAGATTAAAAACAATTGTGACAATTAATATTATTTCTGTAGATGTCAGCATCTCTTTCCACTATTTTGTGTAATGATATCCATTGTGATGCATGGATAATTAATGCTATGGTTCTCGTCTAGTTTTGCAGTGTTCACAGGCTATAGTGAACTCCTAGAAGAAGGGAGGCTAATTATAAGCTAATGTGATTCTATAATATGTCCTGGGGGAAAATGTTTGTTTTACTTTTTATGAATAATGCACTTCCAATATGAGTTTAACAGTAAAAAAGACAAAAAGTAAAGAGAAGTTTTCCTCCATGTTATTTATAAGCTATAAGTTATATTCTGCACAGAAATACAACTACACGCATTTTCTTATTCGCTCCATAGTGATCTGTTTCATAAGGATTTACACATAAAGGAATGGTTTGTTTTCTAACATGCATTTATGACTAGGAGATATGAAAAAATATTTCCTGATCAAAAGAAATTTATAATATGCTTTCATTGGAATTACCAATATATATGTTGCTATTCTTCTTTGTACAGTTTTTTTCCCCTAAATACTAATTATAGCTGTATCTTTATTGGTGTTTTCCTTTTATAAAAATTTTTAAAATTTTTCATTAGGAAAATATTTGCATTATTGATGGAATCTGCTACATTGAAGGGGATAAAAATCCTACCAGTCCTTGTTTGATTTGTAGACCTAACATTTCAAAATTTACTTGGTCATTTTTAGAAAGTAAGTTGTTCTTTATTAATCCAAATATTTTCTATGCAAGATATTTTTAAGTGATTTTAAACCACAAGTTACATAAATGTGTTTAAGATGAACATTATATTTAATTTAGCATCTCCCTAACTGAATAATTTACTTTGCTGAAAGGAAATATAAGATGAAATGTTTTTATTTTATATAAATATTTTTATTTAATATAATTTATTTTAAATAATGTTTTTATTTTATACTGCAAAAGGGTATGGGATTTTTCTTTTAATATTTGAAAAAGAAAGCAAATGTGAATTATTTGGAAGAAATGGAAATGGTTAATTCAACTACACACAGTTTGTGCAAGTCAAATAGCTACTAGCAAAATGGCCTCTCAAGCTCTATTTAAGTACACAAAACTTCCATCAGTAAAGGTCAGTAGGTTTAGTGGAAAGAGAACATTACTTTGACTCCAAAGGTCTAAATTGTATTCTTAGCCTCTTCTCTTTTCAATTCTGTGGCAATAAATTTAACCATTTAAGTTCCAAAGTCCATTCATTCATCAGCAGTTAAATAAGATTATCTGGACTTGATCATCTATAAAGTACTTTCCAGCCCCACCATTCTGTGACTTTATGAGTATAATATTGGGTATAAATAATTTGTGGAGGCTGTGTTCCACTCAAAACATACCCCAAATTATAGTCATGTGCCATATAATTTCTACACTTCCCTAAATACAACTATGTATGATTCCACATGGGTGTTCCTCATATTCCCTTTCCTCAGTCAAAAGACCAGGCATTATAAAATACAAGCTATAATTACTTCCTGGTCCCATGTAATTTTATCTAAGGGAGTCCTAAGACCTCATATTTATACAATGCTTTGTAATAGCACTATATATGCTATTGTATGTGCAAATTTAATTACTGTGCTAGACCATCTGTCAGACAATTCATTGCTCACATGTAAGATTCATGTGATATTAGAAGACGATTGAAATTTGGGGAAACATTTAGTGCAGGACATAAGGAAAGATATACTGTAACTTCAGAATTGGTGTTTATGTTTTTAATGGCTTAGGTATGACTGATTCATCATAGACTGATAGTGTTCAAAGATATAATGGTTCTTGAAATATCATGTATTCCGAGTCCTTCATATTAAGAATGAGGAAATTAAAATTAGTAAATTGTCTAAGGAGAATATATATATATATATATATATATATATATATATATATATATATATATATATATATATATATATATATGGTGGAAACCAGAACTGCAGTCTCCTGGTATCAGTGCTTTGTTGATGGGAGCAGAGTGTCTGTGCCCAGTATAATGAAATGAGGCAATTCTTTCCATCTACTAAGCATGTGGGCAAGAAAGGGGAATGTTTTAAAATATAAAACAATATGAACTGTTTTAAATCTTTTCATGAGCGTAAAGAAAACACCCCCTGTCCCCGGAAACAGCCACCATTTCCAGTGGGTGAACTCAGCCATTACAATGACTTCTGAGGAGCAGAAGATTGGTAATGACTAAATGAGTCCCAATTATCATAATTGGGGAGGAGGATACAGCAAGGAGAGTCCAGGGAGCCAAATGAATAATCCACTCAGGAAAAGGAAGCGAGAAATAGAGAAAGGGAGGTGCAGAGAGGGACAGTAAATCTGAAAAGTACAGAGGGCAAACGAGAGAGAGTGAAAGGTCAAGCAGTGAGACCGTCAATCCAAAGTAATTTCAGACAGAAGAGAAGGTACACCTCACCTGGGCAACACAAATATATTTTATGCTATATTCAAAGTGTTTTCATACTCATAGCAAAGCTTAAAGTTTGTATCTTTCACATTTTCTTTTTCTAAAATTTTTATTAAATTTATTGGGGTGATATTGTTAGTAAAATTACATAGTTTCAATTGTACAATTCTATAATTGCATTGTGTATTGACCAACCAGAGTCAGTTCTTCTATCACCTTTACCCTCTTTTATCACCCTCCCCTTACCCTATGGTAACCACTAAACTGTTGTCTGTGTCTATAAGTTTTTGTTTGTTTGTTTGTTTTGTTCTTTTTTGTTGCTTTCAGTTTTGTATCCCACATATGAATGAAGCACTATGATTCTCAACTTTTTTGTTTGACTTATTTTGTTTAGCATAATAATCTCAAGATCCATCCAAATTGTTGCAAATGGCAGTATTTCATCTTTTGTTATGGCCAAGTAATAGTCTATTGTGTGTGTGTGTGTGTGTGTGTGTGTGTGTGTGTGTATACATACTTGATATATATATATATATATATATATATATATATATATATATATATATATATATATATATATATATATCAAGTCTTCTTTAGCCAATCATCTGTCGAAGGACATTTTGGTTGTTTCCATATCTTGAGCACTATGAATAATGATGCAATGAACATAGGGGACCATATATCTTTACAGATAAATGTTTTCAGGCTTTTGGAGTAGATACCCAGAAGAGAGATTGCTGGGCAGTATGGTATTTTCTAAGAATGGAATTGAATTTATTCAGAATGTTTAAAAAAGAAAAGCAAAAGTGGGTAATAGAAATTTTAGTAGAGTTCAAACTTTATCAAAATGTCTGTCACAATGTTAACTCTCTGTATCATAGTTTTCATCTTCCTTTTCTACACAGATACAAAAGTAAATCTTTTCTCTGTTACAGACAACCAATCCCCAATGATTCAAATGCAGCAAGACAAATTACAGACATTTTATGGGGAAAACTTTGTGTATCAGTTCATGGCCTTTGATCCAGAAGGCTCTGACATCCATTTTACCTTGCACTCTGGTCCTGAAGGTGCAAATGTTTCCTCTTCAGGACTTCTTACATGGAAAACAGAGTCACAAATTCCCCAGCAATTCACTCTACACATTAGCGATGACTGCAATGCTGAAACTAAAGTCACAATTGAGGTATTATTTATAATTACATAAATGCCACTCAATTAACAATATTAGTAACTTTATTTTAAATTTAAAATAAAATTTGTATTACAAATTTGTGAAGAGGAACTAAACTATTAAACAACCCATGGATGTTTTGATTACTTTTGTAAGAATTTAAAACCTTATAGAGAGTCTGAAGTCTAGAACACAGACCTAAATTCCTAACTCCTAGACCATTTTCTTCTTCACTTGACTATGACAAGGAAAGAGAACTCATTCATGTCCATCTCTGTGAAAGATCTGTGATTAACATATCTAAGATCTAAGATCTAATATCTAAGATCTAAGATTGACACCTGTCAACAAAAGGTTACTGCTATCAATCTAATTCCAACAGGAGTCTCTAATCTTTTGTGCCACAAAAGGATAAACTTTATTTAGGTAAACAGTTTGTAAATCTGAAAGATGCACCCTCCAGAGGAAAGCAAAAGTACTCTCTTTAGAGACAAAGGGAAGGCTGCTTTTATAAGTAAAGTTCCCGCCCTGGTCCCTAATGATTGGTCCATTCCTATGCAACTAAGGAATCCAAATTTACAGCCCTGATTGGTCAGAGTCATGCATTCTGATTGGTCATTCTGGACCTGCTCTGATTGGTCAGTAAATATGCAAATGAGGACATAGCCATGCAGTTCCAATTGGACAGGGCAGGTGTCAGTCCTTTGGTTGAAAGAGGAGTCTAGAAACTTCCTTATAAGGGTCAGTCAGCTTAGCGAGCAGGAACCCAGTGCAGGAGGCTGGCAACTCAGTCTATGGCTTTTTCTCTGAAATGCAGAATGCACAAGAGGTCTCTGCCAGCAATGACTTTCAGACTCTGGTTATGAATTTTAGCCTAATTAACCACAAGGAGCCCTTTTTGGCAGATTACTCCTTCTCAGGGTAAACATACTTTTTTTTTTTCCTTCAAGTGAAGCAATTTTAGATGTTGAATTATAAAATCAAGAATATAAATGTAAGATTTGAAATAACTAATTGTGAACCATATTTCTTTTTTAAATTGACTATTATTTTGATTAAGTCAGTCATGTGCTCTCAATATTTTTTTTGTGCCCTATACTCACTTGAAACTTGGGACACACTTTTACACAGAAGTAATGTTATGAAGGGCAATTGTGTACTGTGTCATGTTAACCATGGTAATTCAAGTCACATTTTATTCTCTAGATTGGTGACTAACTGCTTTCCACTGTAAAGGTATTTTATTTTCTAGTTCTGCTTGCATTGCAGAAATTGATCATCATGTAATATTTAAAAATATTATTTCTAGCATTTATATTTTGGCTATGATCTTGAGAGTGGATACAATTGCTTTATTAAGCTATTTTACATGCCATTTTATATTAAATATACATAATTTTGCAAAAATGTGTGATCTGGTCCGACTTGTACATAAACATATGCCTATCATGACTACTGAGGCATAAACTGAAGATGATTTTATTGCCAAATAAAGCATTTGTTTTTTGTTTCTTTTTCAGTTGACTGTAAAGTCTTGTGATTGCTTGAATGGTGGATCATGTGTATCTGATATTAAATTTCCTCCAGGAAGTGGAGCATACCTGTGTGTCTGCTTGCCTGGATTCCAGGGCAGTCTCTGTGAAGTGAATGTCACTGAGTGCCATTCGAACCCTTGTGGCTGTGGCAGGTGTATCAGTGAACTTCACAGTTATGCCTGTGTTTGTCCACCTGAGCTCAAAGGTAGGTTTTGGTTCCTCATGAACAAAACTAGTATGTAAACAAATTAGGAAGGAAAGCTTCTTGGAACTTTCATCTGTAGATTACTCCAGTAAATGAGTGGTCCCAAAGATTTTAATACACATTTAAAATTTCTAGTAAAAGTCATCACAAATATATTTGCTATCCATATCCCTTTTTAAATTGTAAATTGTTTATATATATATATATATATATATATATGTACTCTTACAATTTTGCTTGTTTTCATAATTTTAATAGAAACACTGTGTATTGCATTTTGCAGGTTTCTAAACATTTCTACCTATATTTGGTAGGTAGAAATATATTAAAATGTATTACTATTGAAACATAACATGGAATAATAATGAAATCTGCCATGGGAAATATAAACATTATCATTTAAGAGAGGTTATTATTAATTTATTAACTTATAAGTATCAAGATGTAAAGTTAGAGTTCAAATCAAATGAAATGTTCACATATTTGTTAACCATTAATTGTCCTGAAATGTCTGATTCCAGATAAGTATATAACTGATAACTTTAATTTCCCAAGGTTTTTAAAAAACTCATGCCAATATTTTATTTCATTTAAATAGATGAAAATATTAAATAAGAAAACATGCAATTATTGAGCTGATATTTTCCTTAAAGGTGTCTATTTTAACATTATAATAGAACTAAGAAGGGTATTTAGGTGTTTTCTACTTTTCTTCAGCATTTTAAAATAACAATTTTATCATTTGGGACTATTATGTTGCAAACTATAATGGAAGAATTCAAATGTTGATTGCTTCATGGATTTTACTATCATAAGAGTTACCATCCATTAATGACAATAAATTTATTCATTCAAAGAAGTTGTTAAACACTTCAAAGAGCAACGCTTTGCCTCAAAAATTTTTATTGAGGAAAGACTGACTGTCCCAGCACACTAAAATTTTCATGGGTTTTCACAGCCAATGCAATAACTGGACTGAATAAGTTGTCCTTAAGCTAAGCAGGCAGCTGTCTAATAACTTTATTTTAAAAATCACTGAATTTTTAAACAAAGTCCAAATTATGCTGTAATATGGTAATTTTTTGCCTTAAAATATTAATGAACTTCTGAAGTCTTCTTCTTATTTATAGGGAAAGACTTATGTAATTCATGGGTCTGGTTTAGTGTTAAATAGAATCTAATTAATTGCTTTATGTATATAATAGTATTTGAAAACAGTATGCTTTTCTTCTCTTAATATATGAACGCTTTTTTGGAGTTAGGAGGACATACATAAAGAGTAAAGGAAATCAAATAATGAGCACTTGATTGGCCATATGTTGTTTTTCAAATTAAATAATTTGAACTCTCAATCGGTATTTCATTTAGGAAACAACTGCCAGGAAGATGTTGATGAGTGTGAATCCAGGCCTTGCTTTCCAGGAGTAGAGTGCCTCAATACTTTTGCTTCTTATCATTGTGGTTCATGTCCAAAAGGATTTTATGGTGATGGAAAAATATGTCATGGTAAAAGTCTGTATTTTCTGCCATAAAATATTTTTGCTGAATTTAATTAATTCATATCACTCATTTCCATTCTGTTTTACTCATGCATTCAGTATGTATGCATTCAGTGTTATGCGTTAAGCTAGGAACTTAGAAATTTATGAGATGCCCTCTGACTTAATTAATATGTTTAGTATAAGCAGGGAATAGGACATTTAATCACATAGTTCAATATGGTGGTCTGGGTCATTTTATAGAAGTGCCCAGAAGAATAGTAGGAATATTACACAGGGAATCGTGTCTACCTGGAGGGATAATGGCAAGTTTTCAAAAGGAAGTGTCATTACAGCTAAATCTGATAATTCTGATAGAGAGAGAGAGAGAGAGAGAGAGAGAGAGAGAGAGAGAGGGAGAGAGAGAGAGAGGGAGAGAGAGATTCTAGGCAAAGGAAACAGCAGGAGCAAAGGCACAGAGGTGTCACACACATCAATATCACAGCACACCCTGGGTACTGTGAGTAATTATTCAGTATGCCTGACGTATTGGGGAAAGGGAGATGCTGCAGGAATTGAAGCTAGCTAGGGAGGTAGCCAGTGTCCAGACCAATAAGAAACTATCAGAAACAGGATGAGGTTTACATTTGAGAAAGTCTATTTAAGAGCAGTATGGAGGATGGACCACTTGTGGGTAAAGAGCTCTTTAAGTCTGAGGTGAGAAGAGTTAAGACAATATTACAAATAGATAGGAAAGACATGAAGATATTCTGACCTAAGGCGAGGAGACAACAAATGAAAGAGACACTAAAGAAGCAAATTACTAATACTTGGTCAGTGATTCGGACCAGCATGGTGAGGAAAAGAAAGTTACTCAATTTCAAGTGTTTGGTTTAGGTAAAAGCGCTTAGAATTGGCATTCACGTTGTAATGGAAGCCCTAAGCCCCCACATGACTATGTTGGGAGTAAGGAAGTAATTAAGGTTAAATGAGGTCAGAAAGGAAGAGTCCTGATTCAATAGGGTTAGTGTCCTTTGTAATAGGAGGCACCAGAGAGTTTGCTCATTCTCTGCCACACAGAGAGAAGGTAACTGTCGTCCCAGGAAAAGAGCTTTCACCCCACAGGCCTGCATCTTGATCTTGGACTTCACACCCTCTAGAATGGTAAGAAAATGAATTCCTGTTGTTTCAGCCACCCAGTCTGTAGTAGTTTGTTGTGGCAGCCCAAGCTGAGATACACATGAAACATAAGGAAGAAGTAGTTTTGGAGGGAAAAATAATTAAATCCATTTGGATACATAGAGATTGAGGTGACTGTGGATTATCCAAGTGGAGCTCAAGAGGGAGGATTCAGTCAAAGATAAATTTTAAGGATCATGACTAATAGATGAAATGGCCTGGGATAACAATTAGAGAAGAAGAAGAAGAAGAAAAAAAAAAAGGTAGACATCAATATTTTAAAAACTTAAAAGCGAAAAGTAACTTAGAGAAGTCAGTGTCAAAGAACCATATCTTAGTTATCATCAAGCTAATAAGACCCTATTTTGATTTTAAAAAACTATATATAATAATGTAGTATCACCTCATGCTTCACATATCTAGCACTGGAGGTAACAGATTTGAGGAGCCCAGCACGGGATATTAAGGGGAATTCCTTACTAGTCCAGCTATTCACATTTCTCCCTTGACATCCAGACCCAAGTACTCAACAGTATCACACCATCTACTCTATGCGCAAAAATGATCTAGCATTTGTCTTTTCCAAACAGAGGCCCATTCTCTCAACAAAACCTTTACCAACTGGAATTTAAGAGGAAAGTGAGTTGAACCAAACAAATCCCATTACATTAGAGTGTCTAAGTTTCTTAGCTCTGTCAAAGGCATTTGTGTATTTTAGAAAGATGCTTCTTAGTGCAAAATATTTTCTTATTGTTGGTTGTGTTTACTTAGCTTTGTAATAGGCACCAGGGTTAATGAGTATAAAAGTAAATACAGCATATTCTTATTCTTAAGATTGCTAACTAGTGCAAGAAAGAGACACCTAAGAGCTAGTATCATGAAAGACAATGTTTTGTGGGAGAACAGAGGGTCGAAATTGATTAGGTGGGTGAGTGGGACTATAGGAAGATGTATTAGTTCAGGCTGTCATAACAAGAGATAACAGACTGGGCGACTTAAACAACAAGATTTGTTTTCTCGCAGTTCTGGAGGCTGGAAATTCAACATCAAGGTGTCTTCAGGGTTAGTTTGTGGCTTCTCTCCTTGGCTTGCAGATGGCCGCTTCTCACCGTATCCTCACATGTCCTTTCCTCTGTGTGTGCACTTTCCTTGTGTCTCTTCCTCTTATAAAGATGCCAATCCTTTGGCTTATATTCTAGAAAAAATGACTGATGTTGTATAATAGACAAATCATATCATCACTTAAGGTGTTTCAAAGAAGCTTATAGTTGGAAGTTACCATTTCAAAGTTACATTCTACAAATCCTTAGTTATCCAACCTTTGCTCAAACCCTAACAGAGATAAGAATCTCATTATTTCACAAGGCCTTTTCCTTCTTATAGTGCTTTCTTTATACTCTCATTTTATTTAATAACACTTATGATTGTCTTCATAAAGATCCTGAATATTTTACAATAGTTTTCTCTATGCCTTTCCCTTCTGTAATATTAGCTGTTCATCTTGCAACATATCATAGCAGTTGTTCATTTGTAAGACATCATTGTCGGTTACTGCATTGTAGAAAAACTCTTGATTTTAATGTTATTTATGCATCCAATTGCCTGACTCAACATTATATACATTGTTTTTATAGTTGTTTCTCTTTCTTGATTTTATATCTAGACAATATTTTTGCAAATAGCGAGCTTGTCTCTTACTCTTAATTTCTTATAATAGTAGATAAGATTTAGTATGTATCTATGAGGTGTTAGCACTAGGCAAACATTTTTTATATATTATCTCAGATGGTTCACTTGAAGCAATGTTGGGCTGGAAGGGAGCAGTTCTTCAGTGCACAGAGGCTGGAAAAGAGGACATTGACTTGTCCCAGACATTCTGAAGCAGGGCTTTTAATCATTCACCCAAGATTGATCCAGGGCCCTCTTGTTCTTTTTATTGTGATTAATGCTTTGTTTTTATTTCTCTTTGGGCTATATTTGATGTACTTTTGTTTCTCTATTAGTCTGAACCTGTATGCTTTCTGTGTTTTATGAAGTCCTCAGAATTACCACAAATCTTTCATTGCCTTTGTTTCTGTTTTGTCAATTATGTTAAGTGTTATTTTTTATTGTTTTTGGTTTGGTTTCTTCTTTGTCTGATTCTGTTTTTGTCTAGTCTTCTCTTTTTTCATATTGTAAGGGATTTGAGAAGAGCTGTGCATGAAGATGACACAAAAACCAAACCCTAAATTGACAGTAAAAGGTATAAAATGAAAACATATCTTAATTACTACTTAAAATGTGTCTGTACTCTAAAATTAACTAGATTTTTCATACCAAAGAATTTTTTTGAAAGAGTTACTGTATAAAGAAAATAAAATACTCTGGAAAAGAGAAAAAATGATGACCTCTCCTCAAAAAGAAAACACACAAAAATGTTTAATTCCTTCTTACGCAATCAGGAAAGATGGGGAATAAAATCCCATTTTGTCACATTGGTAAAATGATTAGAGCCACAGTTCTTTGCCTTTCATACAAAATAGCATTTATACAGTTTGTCAATTAATTTTCATTTAAGCATTCATTTTCTATCCTCCCATTTCCAGGCAAAATTAGTTGTTCGCTTTCCTATGCTCCTATTGGTTTCATAGATGTCACTCTTATAGATTTTGAGTTGCCCACATATCTGTATCCTTGAAATCTCAAAGATGGGTCTGTGCTTTCTTTTGCTTTGAGCCTAATGTGTAATAGGTGGTAATACACATTTGTTGGTTAATTCTAACTCTTACTAAAATTATTAGTTAGTGTTCTTTAGTTTTTATACTGATTAACATTCTGTGTTATCTTGTGTAACCAAATAGATTATAAGTTTCTCAAAGGCAGGAAACGTGTGATGGCTCTGCATTACTGTACAGCTCCTAGTATAGTGTTATTCATGTAATAGACAATCAATGAAGAAATGAATTATTTAATAGTAAATACTGTGGGTAGAGCAGAACATTAATAAATGTTATTGACTAACATTTCTTTTTTTCTTTTTTTGGTTGTTTAGATATAAATTTTCAGCCACCATCAACAGATCATTCACCAACTGATGCAAGTTTTACCCACAGCCCTGCTACTATCAAAAAAATCTTGGACACAACCTATGACATCTCGCACTTCTCACTAAAATCAACTCGAATGATTAATTCAGAGAAGGCTATTTCCCATCAGATACCAGATTTTGAACATGCGGATCATACTCTCAGTACAAATCTCCGCCTGGGGAAGTTGGAAGTTTCTATGAACAACCATAGTTCTTTAAGCATTAACCCAAATCATTCCCATGGTGGAGTTAAGAACGTTACCCAGGGCACCATCCAAACAGAGGCAGGAGGGTATAATTCTGCAATTAACACATTTGTCCAAGGTTACACACAGCATAAGGATGGGTTTACAGCATCAGTGACTAAGGCCATCACTATTTTGCCGAAAAAGCCTGGATTGACCAAAATATCGACTTGTGCTGACTTGCCTTGCTTCCTTGGTGTTCCCTGTGTGCCAACCACAGAAGGTCACTTCCGATGTGGACGCTGCCCCTATGGATATTATGGAGATGGTATCAATTGCAGAGGTAGTATGAAAACTCTTCAGAAGATACAAAAAAAAAGATTATCTAGTTCACATTGATTATGAAGATACGCTTTTCTATGTATTAATTTCCATTTACTCCATTTAGTTTAACTAATTTCCATGCATTTTATTTATTATTTATCTATTCTCTTCACATTTCAAAAAATTAACATGAATGTTTCTAAGTTATGTTTTTAAATAATGTTAGTATTAAATAGTATAATTATATGCTATATTACAAATATATTTATTATCTGCTGTGTTCTAGGGCCTTTGGGAGCATCCTGTATCAATTATATCATATAATTCACAGGAAACCCCCATATTGGTTGTTCTTTTTCCCATTATACAGATGAGAAAGAGCCTTGGAGGGCTAACTGACTTCCCTGGCATTAAGCAGCTAAAGAGATGAACTAAGGATGTGAATACCACTGTGGTCTGGGTTCTTTTCAGCTCACAGTGGACATTTACTACTTTAAATTACTAGTTCTGGCATATTTGGTTATTTGCATAAACTAGATTTTCTCTGTAAAACCTCCAGTTCCTGAGAATAAAACAAGTTGGGCATCACTTTTTTAATTTTGAAACAAAGTGTTTACTTCTTTTCATAATTATCAGCATTGTTTTCTCTGATGCAAATCAAATTTTTGGCTATGATAACATAGAAGCTATTTTTTTATTGTTGTTTTGTCTGTGTTTTGATTTGTCTGAGATCAACTTAAGCAATAGAGCTGTTGGCAAACTCTTTTGTTGTCAATATTACCCAGAGAAATTCTTCTTCTTCTTCTTCTTCTTCTTTTTTTTGTAAGAATAACGATAATAATCCTCAATACTTCCATATAATATAAAACTCATTAACAAATAAAACAAAACAACCTCATGCATTTCAGTTACCTCAGAAGCATTAAATGCCTAATAGAATATATTAGGTAGTTGGAGAAGTTTAAGAAATACAAAACTATAAGCTTATGATATGCTCCTGGCATCTTGCTTTTTGAAATTCTGATTATCCCTGCCGTTTATCAACATTTACCTGATTAGTGTTTGAAACTTCAATGCCCTCTATAAAAGACTGTAATCTCATTTATGGTTAGCAACCATTTCCAACATCAGGATTTGCTATGGGAGTAATTATCACATATGGTTTTTCCTTCTCACCCTATTAATCATTTCCCTCAGTTATTCCAGTAGTGAAACAAATATAAGGGGGAAAATAATTGTAGGGATAAATATAGTGGTTGTTGCTTAATAGTAATATCAAATTTTTCAAATTTCAAAGAATTTTATTTTTATTATGACTAAGTCTATGGGCAACATGTACATACTGTATCAACAATCTTGCCTTTTTTTCCTTGATTTTTGCAGCCATTTGTAGACACCCATGTGGAAAAGACAGGGAGTGTATTGCCCCAAACATATGCAAATGTAAAACTGGTTACACTGGCTCTAACTGCCAAACTGGTAAGCATAGCATCCATTAATTTGCAAAATTAATTTAATTGATAATTGATATTTCTAACCATAAGCTTTATTTTATATAGCTGTATGTCATCCTGAATGCAAAAGCCATGGAAAGTGTATTAAGCCTAACATTTGCGAATGTCCCCCAGGACATGGTGGAGCAACCTGTGATGAAGGTGATAATTCAAATTAAAAAACAAATAGTAGAGCCAAAATAAAACAGTATTTTCTTTGAAACCTTTAAAAAAGGTAGTTCACTTTTACTGTATATATACTAATATATATTCATTAATGCTGGTGAGGGAGTAAAAAAAATTTAATATTTATTAAAACTAACTTTTTTGGGCTTAAGAGGCCCAGAGGCGAACTCGAAGGGGAGCCCACGCGCCCAGAGGAACAGAAACCCGGCTACACCTGGCCAGGAGGGGGCCCTGTCTGAAGATGGCGGGCCTAGCTGCTGCTGAACTTCCAACATCCACTTCTGGGTGGTCCTGCCCATCATTATCATCACCTTCTCTCTGTGCCTGGTTTACCACTACATGTCCATCCTGCTACAGAGTGACAAGCTCACCGGGGAGCGTGTTTCCAAAAGTCAAGTCTTAACTCAAAGCACAGTCCTCAGGGGAAATGCAAAATATATTCCCAAACAGTCTTTCTTGACATGAAGATATTAGTTCAACAAACCACAAAATGGATTTTCAAAAAACTAAAAGGAAAGTAATGCCTCTTTTTCCTATGACTGGCCCCACTATGTTCATATACATGATGAAAGCTAGATCACAAATGTTCTTCCTATGATTCTTATTGGTGACTAGATTAACAAGACATTTTCAGGGTTTGTCACATTTCCACGGACCTTCCATTTCAAGCCTATGCTACAGCAAAAAAACTACCCATATTAGATTGCATCCTGGGTGTGTTCTGCATCCTGGTACTTCCTCAATGTCTTTGGGCTTCAGATCATTTACGTTCTGATTCTGGGCCGAGATAATGCTAACTGACCAATCACTGAAGATGCAAGAGCAGGTGACTGGAGCAGCCATGGCCAGGCCCACAGACACCAACAAAGTTTTCAGGGCCCAGTAGGAAGATTTGGAGCTCATGAATCACCAGTGGGCACTAGATGACACTGAAGAGGAGCTGTGACCAAAGACCTCCACTTCCAAGGCATGTTTAAAAAGGAATTACAGATTTTCATTTTTTGAAGGCCAAACAGGGATTAGCTGTGTCAGGAACTCGGAGTAGTGCTTAACCTTATAAGTGTGTTTTGATCAGGAGACTCTCGGAATAAAAAGAAGGACACATGAGCTGGTGGGTGTGCAGCAAAGATCACTATTCTCTGAGTCAGTTCCCCTTTATGTTGAAACCATAGGAAATACAAGGAGTGTGTGCTGGGCGACTTATCCAGAAACAGCTATTTTTAAAACATTATAAACGTCACTCTAGTAATGAAAGTCAGACAAAGGGGGAAATCTCAAGCTCGTGATGAGGTATATGACTTAGCAAAAACACAGTCTTTGGAAAAGGCATTCTCAATTATATTATTATGGGTAGTCAGCCTGACTTCTAACCACAGGAGACTTCTGTTTTCTTGGGATCCAAACACCCTGTGTTTACCTTTAATTTTTTGTTAGTATTTTCTAACTTTATGCAAATAATGCATTTCATTACTGAAAATTTAGGAACTATGGATGAACACGGTGAAGCTCCCTATGTTGTTCATTTTGAACTAACAGAATGACAAAAAGAGAAACTGTGTCAAAACCTTATTGAAATAAACCCTTTTCAGAGTGAAAACCCAGGGCCAAGGCAGACTTTGCAAACCTTCTCTATCTCATTATGCTGTCCAGCCAAAATCGGTGGCCGTGAGACACTGCTGGATTCTCAAGTGCCTTTGAGATCATCGGAGACAGGTTAAATGTGAGGTCTTGATCTGGAGTTCAGAATATATCAAATCTATTGACAAATTAATGCTACTATACTGTATTGTCTACTCAGTGGAATGAAAGACAACATTTCCCCCAGTTATTCTGCATAAGAGAGCGTTTACGTATCACTGTAATAAGGGAGAGAGGGTGATTGTTGGCAGACACATAGTTAAGGGTTGTGCAGGAATAATTTTGTCTGGATTAACTCCCAGGAAGTGGCAGGATGCCATTTCTGTACCAAGAGGTAGTTTGTAATTTACAAGTTGAACACTGTAATCAAGAAAAAGCAATTCTTGACTCTACAAATTAAATCGTCTTGTTTTTTCTTAAAATAATAATTTATTTGGAGATTTAAAAACTTAAATTTCTCAAGTCAGAGAGCTCCAAAGAGCAATCGCTTATCTGTCTTTGGTAAAATTATCTTCAGAAATAATTTTTTCATATTTAGTTATAAAATTCCATATCCCGACAAATATTTTAGCTTCAAGCAAAGGATGCATGATTATTGAATGACTTGTCAAACATGATTTCAAAAAATTGTGAAATACCAAATAAATAGAAGATATCGTGTAGTAAGAAGAAACCTAAAAAGTGATTTTTAAAAATTAGTTTCAGGTGTACAAAACAATGTAATAGTTAGACATTTCACCCTTCACAAAGTGATAACCCCCCTTCCCCAATCTACTACCCCTCTGACATCATATATAGCTGTCACAATTCCATTGACACTAGTCCCTATTCTGTACTCCATATCCCATATGGAGTTATATATGTTAAATTATATTGAATTATATATATATATATATATATATATATATATATATATTATATTAAATTATAGTTGGCATTCAATATTATTCAGCTTCAGCTTCGGGTGTATAGAACAGTGGCCAGGCATCTACACTGTCCATGGTCTCCCTAAGACAAGTGCCTATCTCACACCCAACAAAATCTTTACATTCTTGATTATATCACCCCCAAAAAAGTGATTTTTAAAAACATATCTATAGCTATATAATTTTATCATTTTGGTTGAAATCTTAAATGGAGAGTTTAGAAAATAGAATTCCTAAAATGAATAATGTTTAAAAAAACCAAATTTTTTATTTTTAAAATAATATTTTTTAATAATATATGTTGGGCGATGTAAAAAAAATTATCAATAAACTGAGACACATTAATTGTTTTTATGACAAGGTACAAATTAACAAATTAAAGTAAATCTAGAGTGAACCAACAGAAACATTCAATATCAACAGCATATGAAAATAGTTATGCAAATACAGGAGTGTTCTATTTGTAGGGCAGGGAATGCATAAGTCTAAGTCTCACTTTTCAGAAGAAACCCACAATCCTATATTTCCATCCAGTTTACAGTTTATAAACCATAACATGCTGATGGTTTGTGGGTGTTTTCAGAATGTGAACACACAGTCAATCTCACAGACCAAATTCCATAGTAAAAGAACTGAGTGTGTTATAATTTACTCTTACAGGAAACTTTTATAGTGGCTGTGCTTCATAAACAAGAGCTGACATTTTTTTTTTAAATTAAGCGCTGACTTAATAACATAATCTGTGTCTGCAGAAGATTGTAGCCCAGCTTGTCAACATGGTGGCACCTGCCTGGCTGGAAATCTCTGTACTTGTCCTTATGGTTTTGTGGGACCAAGGTGTGAAACAAGTAAGCAAAGCTCTCTTGCGGTCTAATATAATGAAATCGCTCCTTTGAATAGTTGATGGCTTTAATGCTAAATGATATAAATCCAAACCCTAAGTAAAAAATATACACTTATGATTTATTACAAAAATGACCATTCTACATACCACTGGGAGTCCTAGGTGCCAATGCTAAGATAAAGGAAGATGTTTGTTCTTAGAAGTAACTCTCTTCTTGATCCTATCTATAATCATTTCTTTGAAATAACAATAATTCAAATTTGTTGAATTACGTATAAATTTATCTCATTTAATTAATGTCTGTGATTACTTTTCATCAATAACTAATAATTTTCCCAAATGGTCATCTCTTATTTACCATTTAGCTCAATGGTTTTCTACTTTCCCCATCTCTATCAGCAAGAATAATAATATTAATAATTACAGAATGTGAGAATTGGAGACCATTTAAAGGCAAAGGGTAAATTATTTTTATCTTTCTCTCTGATCTTATTAATTGGAGGATGTGATTGGCAGTCATGAGGTACCTAGGGAATAGCCAATAATATGACCAATTCCAAACCTAATTTATCCTTTTTTATTTTTATTCTATGATCTTAGTGGTTTGTAATAGGCACTGTGAAAATGGAGGTGAATGTCTTACACCAGATGTTTGCCAGTGCAAGCCTGGCTGGTATGGACCCACCTGTAGTACAGGTAAAATCAGAAATATTTTCAATAAATTTGCCAGTAAAAAGAAATTTAAAATGAGCCAGTGTCCTAAAGACTTGCTCTCAAAAACATAAAACTAACCTGACAAGATTGGTATGGTTTTTATTTCAAACAGATTGTTAAAAGCCTATCTTTCATCTTCATTCTATTTCTCCTTGTATTAGGCCCTAGAGTGTATTTCAGGTTTACTGTTATCCAACCCAACGAATAAATTTTTTCTTCTTCTATATTTTCCTC